CCCCCCCCAGGATGGACGAGGGAGACCCGCACAGCGCCCCCCCCCAGGATGGACGAGGGAGACCCGCACAGCGCCCCCCCCCCAGGATGGACGCGGGAGACCCGCACAGCGCCCCCGGGGATGGACGCGGGCGACAGGCACAGCGCCCCCCGGGGATGGACACGGGCGACCCGCCGTGCCGGGAGCGGAAGCTCTGGCTCGAGGTACAGTCGGCGCAGGCGTCCTGTCTGTCGGCTGTTAGCTCGCTACTTCCTCAACAGCAGGGAGTTAGGTGTGCCGCTAAATGGCTTTACTGGTGAGTCGGTTGTTTTTTGTTTTTATGTGTTTAAAGGGCTGGCCAAATAGCTCAGTGGATTAAAACACCTGTATGTAGGCTCAGGGGCCAAGGGTTCAATCCCCAGGCCTGCCGGGCTGGCCCCACCCCCCGGGGCGTGCTGAGAGGATTGAGATTGAGACTGGACCTGGTGGCATGCACCTGTAATCCTAGTGCTTGGGAAGCTGTAAACAGGCAGATCAATACCAGTCTGATCCAGTAATGAGACCCTGAACACCCTGTAGACCCCTAAAATAAAAAATAAAATCCTCTTGTACATATTTAGTGCAGGGTCTATCAACCCCGGTCCCTGAGTCTGCCTAAGCAGGCGCTTCAGTCTGCTGAGCTATCTGGCCAGCCCTTAGCTGAAGAAGCCCATAGATTACTCTCTCTAAATGTGTTTGCCTTAAACATTTTGATAAATGTTTTTCAAGACAATTGGCTTCCTGTGTAATCTTTTGTATTTTAATTAATAGAATTTCAAAACATCATTTGGCTGGGTGTGATGGCAGCCAGGAGGCAGGGACAGGACGATTGCTCTGAGCTCAAGGCCAGCCTGGGCTACATACTAAGTAAGGTCAGATGGGCTGTATACAAAGAAAAGCTAAAAAGCTGTCTCAAAAAAATAAAACAAACAAAACATTATTTGGAGAAGGAGCCCACAGGCTTCTTCAGGGGCCAACCAGGCTTCACAGAGTCAGAAGCTGAGTCTCCCACCTCAGATTTGCTGTCTCCACGATGTGTCACCCGGAGACACTTGAGCAGCCTCTCCCAGCCCATCTCCCCACATGAATACTGAAACTAAGATTTTTATTCATCTTCTTTCCAAGAGTTCTGAGGAAAATTGAATGAGTCTTGGAACAATGGCCAGCAAGCTGTTTGTCCCACAAATTAGCCCATCATCTGCTTTTGTAAATAAAGTTTTATTGAGACACATCCAAACCCATTCATCGACAGCCAGGGATCTAGGTTTCATGCTGCAAAGGCAGAGTTGAGCATGACAGAGATTCTGTGACTTATCAGCCCTTAAATACTTACCACCTGGGCCCTGAAGAGAACGTTCACTGATCGCTCCTTTAGAGTAATACGTGACACACAGAAAACCTTCAACAAGCCTTAACTCATGTCATTTGGATAGCCTGGTGCCCATTTTTGCCACATCTCCATACTTTTGCCTTGACCATAATGCACTTCAGATTTTTCTTTAATGTCCTTCATTAAAATGCTTAAATCACTGAAGAAAAAAAAATTCATCCCTACCAAACTGGTTTGATCTATATTTTATATTTTAATACCAGCCATTACAGTAAATATATGATTGGGGCGGGGTATGTAGCTCAGTGGTGAACAGCTTGGCCAGCATGCGTGAGGCCCTGGATTCAACCCTAAGCATCTCAATCAATCAATCAGTCAATCTCAAGATGTTTAAATAGTTCATTTCCTTTTGGAAAACACTTCTCCATACTTAAGTGTCTTCATTAAAGAAAGCTCTAGGCCTTCTCCTCTGGGTCACAGTCTGAGCCTCGGAGGCCTTGCTCTGTGAGGGTGTCCTGTCTTTCAGCCTATTTTGTAGAAAGGATATATTTCTTATTTTGTCTGTGCTCCAGACCGTGAGGTCCTTCAGAGTGGGGCCAAGTAGCTTTTCATGGGTGCTCGTTAGGTCAGGCATGGTGATGCACACCTGTAATCCCAGCGCTTGGGAGGCTGAAGCAGAAGGATTGCTGTGAGTTCTAGACCAGCCTGGGCTACAAAGTGAGCCAACCTGAACTGCATAGTGAGACCTTGTCTCAAAAAGATAAGAATAAATAAACAAATAAATACTATTAGATCCTTATGCCCCCTTATGTCCTAGAACCCACAAGAATACAAATTATAAGATTCTTCATTTCAAACTGTGGAGAAAAGATGGAAGAAAATCTAAGCCTAAACCTTCTAGTTTGTTGAAGGAAGGAGAAAGTGAGAAACAGAAATAAAAGGTCCAGGACTAGGTGGAATCAATTTGATTCAATTCAACAAGCACAGGGGCTATGAATTTAACTCAGTGGCACAGCGCCTGCCTGGCAACCACAAGGTCCTGAGTTTGATTCTAAGTACGAGAGAGAGAGAGAGAGAGAGAGAGAGAGAGAGAGAGAGAGAGAGAGAGAGAGAGAGAGAGAGGACAAGCACCAACTGGGCCTGGCGTCTCCCACTTCTAAGACCCAAGGGCCCCTCACCAAGTGGTGCTGCTTATCCTCTAAGAGGCATCTCATGGCAGTGCGGAACTGCTGGGCATCGGCCTTTCTGAGGTCCTCCAGGAGCTTCTGGGGCTGGTACAACCGCTGTTGCAGATGGTTCTCCATGGCTGCCTGGATATGACGGGATGGGAGTCAGTGGTCAGCACCGTGGCCAGCAGCCTGGCTTGTCTCCCTCCAGTTCCCTGAGGAGTCCATGCCCTGGCAGTCTGCAGATGGGTTTGGTTTGGCCAGTTCCAAAATTTTGAAATAGCTGCAGACACTGAAGTCAACAAATTCTTCCAAAAGTCCAAATTTCCAACTTCAGTTTGAAAATACAAAGGTTGGGCAGCACGAGGTAGGTACCTCCTTTTCTGGTGACCAGCAACAGGCCGGGGGCAGCCCCATGCTCATCCCAGACAGCCAGCCTGATTGCCCCACTACATGGCCTTCCTGCAACTGAGGTTGGTCACACACCAGGAAACTGAGACCCCGGATGTGCTGCTGCTCCAACCCAAGTTATCAGCCAAGCAGCAAAACGAATGAATAAACCAAATGGCGCACCTCCAGGGCAAGGAAAGAAACCACCCACATCTTCTAAAGGAGCTTTCCTCTGTTGTGTGGTGAAGTCTTTTCTAAATCTTCCTTAAACAGAAGTGCTGTAGGAAGGCAACATTTGTGGGCAAGAGGCGAGTGCTACAGCCAGACAACACACACAGTCCACCTGGACACGTCCTAGCTGTGTGGCTTCGGGGAAGCCACTTCACTAGAACTGAGGTAAAATCCAAGATGCTCAGTTAAATCTGAATTTCATATAAATATCAAATCATATTTTAGTATAAGTGTGCCCCAAAATTTGTATGGGCTATAAATTTTTAGAAGTATTCAATTTTTTTGTCTGAAATTCTAATTTAATGGGACATCCTATATTTTTAGTTGTCAAATCAGCAGCACTCCCTCCGGGTTTCATTTTTCTCGTGTGAACAACAAAGATCATGGCGAGACTTCCCGTGGAGGGGTGTTGTGAGGTTTGGGTGTATGAAATGTGTTCCTAGCACATGTTAAACACTCAGCAATAGTGGCAGCTGCTTTTTGCTAGTCCGAGCGCCAGAACACTGCCTCATGAGTGTTTCTCCCCTTAGACAAAGGCCCTACTCGGGGAGCAGCGGCATGCTTTGCTCTCCACCGAGGTCCCAGCGTCGAGAGCTGTGGCTGGCAGAAAGCGGATGCTGAGCAAGTAGACTTCGAGTGAGTGACCAAATGTGGATCAGAAAGTGAAGTAGTGAATACGGCTATGGTTTGGATCAAAACTGTCCTCAAAAAGGCATACGTGCTCACAGGCCGGGCTTTGGAAAGGTGAAGGATTGCGGGGCTCTAACCTCATCCATGCACTAAGGGATTGACTCACTGGGGAGTCTAAGGCTGAAGGGGCTCCTAGGAGGCGAAGCTTCAGTGGACGATGTGGGCCACTGCGGTGTGCTCAAAAGGTTCCTCTTTCCTGGCTCTCATCACCCTCTCTCTCCCCCTTCCTCTCTCTCTCTCCCTCCCCCCTTCTCTCCCTCCTCCTTTCTCTTTCTCCCTCCCTCTTTCTTCCCCTCCCTCACCCCCCACTCCTTTCCCCCACTGTGTCCTTCTCCCCTGGTGTCTATACCTCACCACAGGCCTAAAAGCGCTAAAAGCAACAGAACCAGGTGACAACAACTGAAGTTTCTGGATCCATGAGGCAGAATGAATCATAACTTCTTCATTTGGTTTGACCTAGGTATTGCTGTCCTGACAACAGAAAGCTGATTGACATATATACCTACCAGTTAGGATCAAATAGCTATACCTCATGAGAAATATTACTGGCAGAGAAAGGGGCAAATGTTAATTTTCTTTAGTTTGCTATGATTGATAAAAACAGATGCCAGCAACCCATTTGGGACACCCCCATGTCTCTCAGGAGCTGTTCTATCCTCCATTCCCCCATTCCTGTTCTCCATTGCATTTCTCAAAAAAAAAAAAAAAAAGTATCCTACTCTTAACCTCCGTTGTCCCTTAGAATTCACTCTTTGACTTTGGGGAACACTAACCTGACATCTGGCATTTCCCCTCTATCGTCCTGGAGGCCCCACCAAGATATGCGGAAGGGGCTTGGAGACTAAAACCAGAAAGGTAACTGGGCTAAGCAGACGGCCAACTTAGCCGTCCAGTCCTCCTGGGCCAATGAGGACCCAGGACCTGAGGGAATCTTTTCTGCAGGATTGTAAAACTTTGAGCTGCAAGGCTCCAAGTGATGGTGCAGAAGGAACCATTCAAAGGGGCCAGACTCCTGCTGCAGGGATGCACTCAGTCGACCTTGTCAAGGGAGGGCGCGTCTGCTCAGCTGCAGTGTGACTGCTGGCCGAGGCCCGCTAGGCTCGCTCTCTGCAGAAGGCTCCTGGCTTCCTGCACCCTCCTGTCAGCTCAAGCAGCCAGGTGGAAATGACATCCCTACTGCAGCTAAGGGCACCTCTTCGGGGGGGGAATATTACGGCAGCTAAGTTAGGTAGCAATTCAGCAGGCGGTCAGACAGGGCCAGGCCCTCGAGGGAGTCAGTGCCAAGGACGAGAACGCATCAGGACAGGCTGGAGGTGCAGCTGAGGATGAATGTCACGGCCGCTAGGGTTGATCCTTCCCAAGGGCTAAGCAGAAGCTTGAGATTTTCCTCATACGTAAACCATTATCTCCTTGGAGCTGGGTGGGCCATCCTCTCCCACCACTTGGACTAAGAAGAAAGACAAAACTAAGACTATGGCTTATCGCCCAAGGTTAATGATGTCATCCATGTGCCCTTGCTACTACGGGATCAATATTACCTACGCGACTATACTTGCGATCTTATTGCTTAATCATAATCTTGACCCCTGTGGTACCCACCTCATGATTTTACCTTTTCCCTTTGAGAAGTGGGCCCACTGGAAACCCTCCTGTCTCTCGGGATCTATTTTTATTCCCCCTTCCTATTGTCCATTCTTTGTCCCCAATAAATTTCCTACAAATAAATCAACAAACAGGTACCATGTGGTTCAACAGCCAGTTCCAGCTAATGCACTGAGCAAACACTCAGCAAGCACTCAGCTCTCTGGCTGTACTTATAATGTGGGCAGTGCTTGACATTTTTGTTCTTGTTAAAAGGTAAATAAAAATGGAACCAACAAAGACATACACTGAGGACTTACTCACTGGTCAAACATGCAAATGACTGCTCTACAGAACCAGATAATGGTGTTTAAATGCTAGTTCCTCAGTCGTGTGCGCTGTTTACGGAGTAAAGGCAAAAGCCACAATACACCGCACGGGGCTCGGAGCTGCACCGTGCTGCCCTTCACTGCAGCCTTCCCCGCGCCCCTCAAGGAAGCGGTCACTGTGCCTGTCAGCTTTGCTGTGCTTGTTATTTTCTTTCCCGTAAAGTTAAAGGGAAGGAGACGTCCCTGGACCCATGACTGAAAGATTGATAACTACGTATAAGCAGCCACTCCCCTCTCTGTGGCCTGAACGTGGCCTGCCCTCACCCCAAAGCCACATGTGCTGGAAGGGTGGCCCCACACGTGGCAGTGCTAAGAGGTAGTGAAAGCTTTAAGAGGCAGCGCCCAGCGGGAGGGCAGTGCATCCTGCCCACGGAAGGAACTGAAGTGGCTCTCGTGGAATCTGGCCAGCTCTCAGAAGAGGTCCACTGGGAGTCTGACCTTGACCTCCGTCCTGTGCTCTGGCTTCCTGTGTCGCCATGTGGCCTCCTCCTCCCACATGCACCTCTACCACTATGAGGTCTCCACTGTGAGGTGGCCCAGCCACAGGAGCCATCAGAGACCTGAGTGACTTCTCACCACTATGCTGTGTAGACTGTCAGCCTCTGAAATGGTAAACTGAATAGATCTCTTTTCTCTATAAACCAACCACCCCCAGGTGTTTTATTATAGTAATAGAAAAGTGCCTGATACATTGCTTTGTTCTTTTTATTGATAGAAATTTTCAGTTGGGTGAGTGGCTTCCTTGCAGCGACATGTGATCGTGGCGAAGGAACTGTGTCCCTTGGACACTACAGCCTTAGAGGAGAAGCTTCCTCCTCCCATCCCCCCTTCTGGGTTGAAGGGCAGATGTGCTGCTGCCACCATGGGGTACCAGCCTCCCACAGGATGACAGAGCAAAGAGACAAAAAGCACCCCGGCTCCTGGGCAGCCTTTTGAAACAGAGCTGCCCCTCCTTTCCTGGGTGTCCCACTTAGCGCTGCATGGTTGTACGAGAAAGGAATAAACTAAAGTCCGCATCACAGAGGCTCTGGAGTCCTTGGCTACAGCAGATTAGTCTGTACCCCAATATCCCATGTCTCCATCCAAAGTGAGAAAATGAGAGACGAAGAGCTTGCATAGTTTTTCAGGAAAAACTGGACAGAACATCCTTCTCTGTGGACGAGAAGACTCTGCAGACCTGGCACGCTTCCACTTTCCTGACCTCTGGTCTGCAGCCCGTAAGCACAGACCGTAGGAAGGGCAAGGCTTCTCCGGTTCTCACCTGCAGGCCGGGAAGGGTGAAGGCAACGTTCCAGGAGCGCAGGTAGTCCAGCACCTGGTGGGACAGGTCAGTTGTCCAGCCGTGGGCACTTCAGTGAAACACGGATGGCAGAAAGTTAGGAGAACTTCCCCCGCAAGCAGCTCTGCACTAGCTGTGTGCCCGGGGCCGCAGTTCTGAGACGACAGTGGAAATGGCCCGGGTGCTAGGGCCTTGCCCCAGGACTTAGGAGCCGCGTGGGCCGAGCACAGCGGCTGGGCGAATTTCCAGTTTGGGAATCTGCCTGGACCCAGTGTCTCAGAATCATTATCCATTTCTGAGCCGTATGCAGTATTAAGGCTCCCACAGCAGTCCACGTGCGCTGAGCTGACTGTAATTGAACAAACTAGCTCATAAATATGACCCTTCCTGCATGAAGTGTGAAGAGCGCAAGCAGAGATGCCCCAGTAGGTGGCGCACTTGAGAACGGGCTCCAAACGTGAGCCTGACTACCCACGGTGTTCTTGGGCTTTAGTTTGTTGTCATTGTTGTTCCGGTGCTGGGCCTAGAACCCAAAGCCCTGTCTGTGCCAAGCACACTCTATCACTGAGCTACACTGCTAGGCCTACACACGACCTTGTATAATCCCATGTTTGTCATAAATAGATGCATGATTTGTTTGGCATGGGGGTGCAGAATCAGGGCTTGAACTCAGGCCCTTGCGCTTGCCAGGCAAGCTCTTATTCTACTTAGCCATGTCCCTGGCCCCCTAGATGCATGATTGAATGGACACACAAATAATTTAGCCAAAGAAAATGCATGCAAAACTACCAACAGCAGTTAGGCTAAGAAGAGGAGCATTCTCCGAGATCCCTCCAGGGGACTCCACGCCCCACTTCTTCTCCTTCGTTGTGCTAATCCTACCAGAACTTCTGTGCCCATCTGTCTCCCTACAACACTGCCTGGCTCCAGGATCCTTGTCCCTATGCCTAGCACAGACCTGCGGGCCGCACACAACAGGACAGTGAAAGGAACAGCCAAGCCCTGGAGCCAACTTCTGGATTTGTCCCAACCCAGCTTTGCCACTCGCCAGCTGTGCGGCCTCCGTTCAGTCTCCCTGAACCAGGCTCCGCTGTTCTGCTCAGTGGGACAGCAGCCAGCCCCGGCGTGCAGGGGTCACTCACACACGTGTTCCTGCACACCAAGTGCTTGGAATGGTGCCTGCTCACTCGTAAGCATTCCGTAAATCCTGACGCTTACGCTACGGCACGGGAGAAATAAACACTTCCTAAACAAGTGCGTCAGTCCTACAGAGCTTGTGCTGTGCCTGACTTTTTTGGTAATGAGCATGTATCATCTCCGACAAGTAAGATACTTCCTTTAAGAATTATTAGTCGAAAATCTATCCCATCCCTTTCCCTCCCCTCTAGGGCAAGTTACCTTTGAAACTGTATGAGATCCAGAAATGCTACAACAGGAATAAAATGAAAAGACAACTTTAAAGGGATCATTCCAGAGAGACGGCAGCTACATTCTGTTTGAAATTCATAGCAGACACCAGCGGGGCCAGAGTGGGGACCTTACCATTCAGATAGCTTCCCTCTATGATTTCTTCCTAAAAGGCAGAGAGGTAGCAAGAAGTACAACGTTCACGAGTGCGTGCGTGCAGCAGAGGGAATTTTGATTAGGACCGACTGGGACACTCACCGCCATCTTCTGCAGCAGTGGATCCAAAGCTGTAAGAAAGCCATGGAGTGTATAACTAGAACTGAATTGTGTCACCTTCAAAAACACAGTTATGTTTGAGGAGAAGAGCCCCCCAGCACATACAAAGCTACTCATAAAGAAAATGTTTAGAGAATTTTACCTGTGCCCAGTGGTGAGAAAACTCTGGTTTGAAAAACACTTAGAATAACTCTGAAAATCCTACATATCTCCCCACCTCTCGCCACCATCCCCCCCACTCACAAATGCACGCATGCGGGTGCCTTGACATTCCTGAAGGCAAAACTGATCTATCCCTCTCTGCTCCCTAAGAACGGAAGTCATGGAAGGATTCCTCCCTCAGGACTTACCCTGCCTGGAGTCAGAAGCTTCCAGAGCTGCCGCTTCATGGCTCAGAAGAAGGACCAGGAAAAGGGAGCGTGTCCCCATCACCTGCAATTCATTCAAGCATAGCAGTGGCTCAGGCGTGTTTGGATAAAATACTTAAGGACATTCAAAAGATGCAGGGGAGAGCCAGCCAAATAGCTCAGCGGAGGGCCGGGGAGATGGCTCAGTGGAATAATCTTCCCTGGCAAGCACAAGGGTCTGAGTTCGATCCCCGGTTCCACCAAAAAAAAAAAAAAAAAGCTCAGCGGATTAAGGGATTCCATCCCCAGGCCTGCCGTGCCAGCCCTGCTCCTGGACACACTGAGACAGAGATTGAGACTAGGTGTGGTGGCATGCACATGTAATCCCAGCTCCTGGGAGGCTGTGAACCGGCACACTCACTATGAGTCCAATCTAGTAGTGAGACCCTGAACACCTTGTAGACCCTTCCCTAAAATACAGAAATAAATAAATAAATAAATAAATAGACACAGGGGAGCACAGAGACCCTGAGTCCCTTGAGGTTTTTAAAAAATAATTCTAAAACTCCAACTACATTGCTGTATGCACTCCCCTACCCCAGCCTGGGACATGTTCATCTCTCTCCTTAATGACTACAGTGGCCTATGTATATTCTTTTTTTTTTCAATTTTTAATTCTACTTTGTATAGTAAAAAAATTATAAGCAATACAGAATTTCACTAAACAAAACAATAGGAATTCAGCCACGATTGTTATATTGCATAATGTTGTCTTCAAATTAGTTGTTTAGATTACCAGACATAAGCACGCAAAAGTGGTTTTAAAAAGTTATAAGAAATTTAAAAGAAAAACTTGAAGCTTTAACTGCACCTCTCAGCAGGCCTGCAGAAATCAGCAGTGCAGTTATCCAGGCTAGCCTGTGGACATGCGTAAGTCTATCTTTTCCCTCTGTTCTTTCTCTCTTGGTCCTTTTTGTCACCCCAGCTGTCCCTCCCTTGAGCAGATCCTTCCCTGTCACCCGTTCAGGCTCTCACACCAGGGAGACAAGGCAGCGCTGGCCCACGCGTCTCACTCGCTTCACTCGCGAGTGTGGGCTCCCTTCTGATTCGCCGCTCTTACGCCTCCAGGAGACTTACATGCGGAATATAAGAACACTGGTACTTAAGGAGAAAACCAGGTCAACGGAGGAAAAATATGTAAAGATAAACTTCTTTAAAATAAACGTGGAATGGCCTAATAACTGCAGAAACGATTATCGCAGCACTAGTTAACAAGGACCCACAAAGTAAACCACAGTGAGCTCACTAAAAGCTCTCCGCGGTGGCTAAAACCTAACGTGGCAACCGTGGCGGTGACGGTGCAGGGCTGAGCAGCCGAGGAAGAGGCCCTCCGAGGCTTGGCGCCAGACGCTGGGATACAGCAGCAGCGTGAGGGAGGCGCGCCCCAGCACCCGGGAAGGACCTGAAGGAGAGGGCGCGCCCAGCGTGAGGAGGGGACCTCAGCGCAGGAAGAGAGGGGAGCCCTAGCGCCGAGCCCGACCGGCCCGCAGGTGCAGGCTGCTGCGGCTGACCTCAGGGGCGGCGGTGGGAAGCGCTCCAGAGGATCGGAGCTGAGCCTGCCGCGGGCCGCGGGGCTGGGGGTATCTGGGTTCAGACCTGGCCCGGGAGAGGGCGGTTGGCGGGCAGCCGCCTTGCAGGGGGCCAGCTGGGCTCAGCTCAGAACAGCCGCCGGCCGGCTCCCTTCGGGGGCTCAAGTGTCAGGGTGAGCCCGGCTTAAGGTGCCAGGAGGCTGCACTGAAGGGAGCAGGAGGCCCGCGGAGTCCTACAGGCTGAACAGATCAGCCTCCAGCCGCACGCCGCCGGAAATGCTGAGCTCAGTGGAAGCGAGGGCGTAGGGCTCCCAGGGCTACCCACTGCCCCGCCTTGAGGCTACGACTGGCTTGCTGGGATTAAGAAACTGGGATTACAGGCGCGCACCACCATGCCTGGTCTCTACACTCCTCCTCTTCTATTTCTGTTTTTCCCCCAACCCTTTTTAAATTGTCATATTGAGGGATTATTCACAGAATAAAATCTCCTAGTCTGTTTATTTTGTTACTTTACCATAAATCTAGTTCATGAAAGGTGTCAGGTTAATAGTTACTGCAGTTTGCCACTTTCTAGGTTTTCTTGATGCAATATAATTCCAGAAACATTAGCCAGAGCAATTATGTGTCTCTGGCAAGAGACAAATAAAATGAATAATGATTGAAAGGAAGAAGTGAAATTATCATTATTCGCAGACGACATGACGCTCTATATAGAAGACCCCAAAGACTCCACCAAGAGACCTGTACATTTAATAACCAAATTCAGTAGCATAGCAGGATACAAAGTCAGCACTCAAAAGTCAAAAGCAGGGCTGGAGAGATGGCTCAGTGGTCTAAAGCACCTACTTAGAACAAGCTTAGCAAAAGCATCAGGGACCGTGGTTCAATCCCCCAGCACCAC